GTTATGGAATGCTTCATTATATACAAGTCGGAAGGGCTAATAAATGCAATACTACGTTAGAGGTTTATAATAAATGTAGTCAGCTAAAAAGAAAATCAAGCTAGATTCGAATAGCGATACAAACATTATTTATCTTGCGAAACTAGTGAAAATATCAATAAAGCTTTAATACAAAAGCTACAAAATAATGTAATATACTTCGATAGCACTGGGCATATGATCAGCATTAAGCCGGCGATTGGCACTAGGTAGACCAGGAGGCTGCGCAGGAAGATGTGGACTAGGATAGGATGGATTACTGGCGTTCTGAATTGATTGGACAAATGGTGGAATAGTAGGATACACTTGTCTAGGAGGATAATTCGGCTGACTAAGATTTGTGTCCTGGCCTGTGAAACCAGTCGCAGAATATTGCTGTGTAAGAGTATATAAGGTAAATTAGCGTAATTCCATTGGAATAAAAATTACGAAATCTAAAACTGACTTTACTATCACCTACGTCTGACGGTGCTACTTGTGGAGTTAAATAATCTAGGTCATTATGAGGAAAATTTTTATTGACAGTGTAGGTTGGCTGAGAGTAATGGGAGCCCTGAATGGCTAGCCGTTTGTTCGCTTCAAGAGACATGGTTTCAAACTGATGACCTAATTCAGTGAATGAAGTGCTTCCATTAAATCCGTCTTGTGAGGGGAGATGAGAATAGGGAGGCATAGGTGGGATCCTCTGCTGGTTTACAAATTGCGACGGTGAAGGTGAATACATGGGCCTAAAACAGAGAATATCCATTTGTTAAATGAGCAGAAGATATTAGAAACCTGAAAATCGAGTACATAACTCGGCAAGAAAGTTATACAAGAAATAGAATGGGCATACATGCTAGATTCTGGAGTCCTTGAAGAACTCGCCATTTGGCACTGGCTAAGTTGATAAGCTGGAAAAGCTTGATAAACGGCTTGGTTACCTTCTGCAGTAGAAACATATGGTTGACTTTGCTGTATAGGTGTTTGCATGCTTAATGCTAAAAAAGATAACAAAATGCCAAAACGAATTAAAAAAGGAAGT